AACTCTTCCATAGATTTCATAATCAAGTGTAAACTGTCACCACTGCACCCTAGCTTATACCATGCAAGTGACAGCAAGTGACTGATCGGCTCTAAATAGGACATTTCAATGACTGTCATTTCATGACTTACAGAGAAAATGTCAATTAAAAATAACAGGAGGGGTGCCTGTGTGCTCAGTCCATTAAGTGTCTGACTCTTGATTTCAGCTCAGGTCTTGGGGAGCCTGCTTGAGATTCTCTCTCTTCCCCTCTGTCCCTCCCCCACTGCTCGCTCGCTCTCTCTTTCCAAAATAAATAATTTTTTAAAAAAATAATAGGTGGGGGCGCCTGGGTGGCTCAGTCGTTAAGCGTCTGCCTTCGGCTCAGGTCATGATCCCAGGGTCTTGGGATCGAGCCCTGCATCGAGCTCCCTGCTCCGCAGGAAGCCTGCTTCTCCCTCTCCCATTCCCCCTGCTTGTATTCCCTCTCTCGCTGTGTCTCTCTCTGTCAAATAAATAAATAAAATCTTTAAAAATAATAATAATAATAGGTGATCAGTTATCAAGACATAATATGTCTTATTTAAGCTGAAAGCTACATCAACAAAGTGTCGAATCAACAAAGACTTGGCTTCTAACTTTCAGCAAAAGACCAACATAACTTTTATAGTGAAATAGCATTATTAAAACAAGGAAGATATAATTGCTTTAGTTACCACTTTTTTTTTTAAAGATTTATTTATTTATTCTGAGAGAGAGAGAGACCACACACACATGAGTTGGAGAAGGGGGCAGAGGGAGAGAATCTCAAGCAGATTCCCTGCTGAGTGTGGCTCAATCCCACGGCCCATGAGATCACGACCTGAGCTGAAATCAAGAGCTGGACGCTAAACTAACTGAGCCACCCAGGCGCCCCTTTAGTTATCACCTTTTTAAAGAAATAAAAGGGGGACAAGGAAACCTCATGTCAAGCACAGTGCTAGATATTTTAGGTGCATGATCACATTAATCTTCCTAGTAAATCTGAGATCGTTTCATCTCCCCCATTTCACAAATGAAGAAACTGAGGCTCAGAGAGGTTAAGGAACTTAGTCACAGCAACCACAGTCACACAGCGGCAAAAACCAACTCAAAACCAAGTCTGTTTCACAAAAGACTATACACAGTATGATTCTGTAATTCCACTTCTATTAGGTTCAAGAACAGGCAAAACCGATCTATATGAAAGGAGTCACATCTAAGATGATATGAAAGTTCCCTCTAGAGGGCGGATACTGACTAGAAAGGGCGCAGGCACCTTTCGGGGTACTAAAAATGTTTGCTTCTTGAGCGGGGTGGTGGATATACATTCAGGAGGTACATACAATATCAGAGCACTTCACACTTTACCATATGCTATTACCTCAAGTTAAAGAAAAAAAAATTCTTCATCTGACTGACTCCAAATTCATACTCTTAACCACTAAACCACCACTCCGACAGAACCTGGTCACAGCTCTAGAATTGATTCCCTCGGATTATCATTTTTTAAAAGTATTCTGGTAAGCAACGTACATCCTAATCACATCAGAGTGAAAACACTGGAACAATAAACCTGTTTTTAAATGCCACAGAATGAAAAGTAGAAAGTATCAATTTCCTGGCTACTGGGAATTTCCCCTCTGTAGCCACATCAGAATACAATTTTAAACCCTGCTCTAAGTGAATGTTCACAGATGCACAGAAAATCATTTGTAGCAAAGTCATCTATGGAAACACCTAAAGCTAAAATTACACAAAATATTTCAAAACATGTTATAACCTTATCAACAATGCTAACTCTCAAAAGAAATTTGAATTTGGGGGGCACCTGGCTGGCTTAGTCAGTAGAGCATGAGACTCTTGATCTCAGGATTCTGAGTTCAAGCCCCACGCTGGGCATGGAGCCTACTTAAAAAAAAAAGGAAATTTGAATTTTGTTACAAAAATTAAGACAGGCAAGCAGACAAAGCTGATGGGCAAAGAACATCAAGTTCACAGTAGTGGCAACACAAGTAAGTGCAAAATCTCAGCTCAGAGTTCTAACATATAGAAAACTGGTACAATGAACTTTTTCCAGCAGGAAAGCAATTGTGCCACAAATGCCCTAATAACAAATTCTCCATCAAGTACAAGTGCTTCCCACCGAAGTTCTGTTCAGACTAGCAAAGCCTCATCACCAGGTGATGATGAAATCATTGCATCAATTCTCTTAAAGTCTTATACCACACACATATACCTCTTATTTGAGCGGTAATTGCCTCTCCAGAGAGAGGAATTTATTCATCCTACAATTTGGAGAAATCTCTGGCAAGCACCTAGTTAACAGTTATCCCCCGTGGGGGTGAGTGTGGGGGAGGAGACAGCTGTATCTACACACCTGTTGGCTACGGGTGCCGGGGTCCTTCCTGGGTGCTTTTGATTAGGTCAGCCGGGAAACCCAACCTTCAAACTGTCAGAGCCTGGTTTAACTCATGTTTTAACATTCTGTATACACTAAAATTACCACGCAATTGATTGAAATGATTTTAGTTCCCTCTGAGCATCTGCGTATAAGACCAAAAGGCCTTTATAGAATTTTCCAGTATTTGTAAGTCAGTTATACATCACAATTGGGCATGTTGCAATAGATTATATAACCAAATATTATCCCAGGTGCAAGAATCTTAATGTTTATAAAAGTAACCATTGGCATTTATTAATTGTTAAAGTCTTTAACAAACTGTCCAATAAAACTGTCAAAAAAACTAAGTAAAGTCAAATATTGTGGCTATTAAGCAAGTTAGAAAGAATTAAAAGCACTGACCCAGTATGTTAAGAACAGAGGACATTGAGGCACATTCACAGCCCCGGGTCAGGATCCCTAAATTATGGTTCCAAAAGAAACAAAACAAAAAAACAGGCATTACCAGAAAACATTAAAACTTAAAGTTTCAAAGTTTCTTTAAGAAACAATGGATTCATCTTTTCTCTTACCCTGCATCAGCTGAAAAAGCCTCATGCATTTCTATCCAGAACATCTTAGCTTTGTACCAACAACGCATCACGTAAGGCAGAATGATCCATTTTTTTTAGATTCCTCATTTCCTAATATAACTCCTTTCTCTCTAAAAAAGGCACACATTTAGGGGCGCCTGGGTGGCTCAGTCAGTTAAGCGTCTGCCTTAGGCTCAAGTCATGATCCCAGGGTCCTGGGATGCAGTCCCTCCTCCGACCGACCGCCCAGTCTGTCAGTCCATCGGTTCACAAACTGGCAGGCTTCCGGCTCAGCTCTCCCTCTCCCTCCCCCTGCTTGTGCTTTCTCTCTCATTCTCTCTCTCTCTCTCACCAATAAATACATAAAATTTTAAAAATAATAATAAAAAATTATAGACACATATTTGAACAACTTGTATAGTGAAAAATCAACCATGAATTATCAGTTCCACTTTCCTGTTTTAGCAAAACTGTAGTGTCTTAGTATTGGAGAAATCTAAATTGTTTTTTTAAACACAGAACTCTTCAAAACTACAAGCCATTACTCAGCTATCCATCAGAAACCCAGGGAAAAAAATCGTAATTTTTACAAGCATATTATGTTTCTTTTCATCAAAAGATTACTTCATTTCTTGGATTTTAAAAACTTTATCTGCATCTGCCAAATCTGGCTGATTTCAGTGTCAGTCAGACCAATCTAACTGGTTCCCAGTTACTGTTTTTGGTAAGGGGAAGTTGATGCCTAGAGGAACGTCTATACTGATTACACAATGACCACCACCCATTAAGTGCTTCTTAATTCCCATGATGCAGAGCCCGGAGTTGGACAGACATTATCCTATCTGTCCTCAAAAACAATCTTGTTGATCAGGGGCTGCCATCCCCAAGACCCGTTATGGAAAATAAGACTGGGATGGTCAACAACCTGCCAGAGGTCACAGAACGGTATGTGGCAGATTCGAGACCAGTGAACAGTGAGGGTGGGAACTTGAACTTTTATGGAGAATTAGGCCTTTCATCAACACACATGAAATGAAGAGCAGTGAGCCCCTGCTGTTGGGAGATGACCGAGGGGAAAAGCAGTATTTCAAACTGAAAAAGTAATTTCAAACATTAGATCCAAAGATACAGACATTCGCAAAGCTGGGCAGGGGGGAAAGGTTTTCTCATGTAGAGAATTCTATAGGGTTCTGCAATTCCCTGGTCTTAAAATCTAATCTGATTTAAGAGCACAAGACTGTGTGTGTAACAGTCTCCCAAATTCCAACAGGCTTAATAACCTCTATTGAAAAGAAAGAGAAGTGAGAACTAGCACAGTGGGAAGAAGTGACCACCCAAGCCTGTCCTCCCACCGGGGTAAGCTGTCAGTTCCACATGGGCACGACCAGGAGACAGCTCGGCTCCAGAGCCCTCAGACTGGGTTAGGCTCCGATCCCCCCGCTTTCCTGGTCCCGATCCTGACCCTGTTGACCACCTCCCGAGGCAAAATACACCGGAAAAATGTTATAACAAGTAGACGCCCATGTTCACCAACTGGTTTAGAAATCTGCAATCTACAGCAAGGCTCCAACAAGGGAGGGGCCTCCCTTGGTATAATTGTTCTAAACTATCTTTCCACGAAATTGGGAAGGTTCACGAGGCCATGGGGGATAGGGGAGCAAAGACAAACATACCATCCCTGAGTTTTTAAGCAGGAGAGGGAGCCTCCTCGCCAACCCAGGCTTACAATGTGTTAATTTCAGAGATAAGCTTTCATGCCCTGACATTTGTAGGGAGATAATGGGTCCTGGGGCTCCCCCGTCCTAAGTGCAAAATACCGCGGCCGGGATATTAAGGTGACTTGATTTTACTACCTCCATAAGGGTCCGCCTGACGTTCCCGGGCAGCCTCCAGGATCTCCGCCCACAGGGTCCCACCGAGCGCCCCCACGCCCACCCTTCCAGCGAGGTGTTTTGCCAAGGCCTGCCTTACACGCTCCGGGCAGCTCCCACCCATCCCCCTCCCCAGGTCTCAGACTAGTAGCCTGGTTAATCATTCAACGCCGGCGGCGTGGAACAATTTTTTAGAGGTCAAAGCGAAAGGTTCTCCCTAAGTTTCCCAGAAACCAGCCTTTGGGGACCCGGAGGTGGCAGCGGCAGGCAGATGGGGGTGGGGAGTGGCGGCTGGCGGCTCTTTGGCTCGCAAAACACCTGATCTCCCCATGCGGCAACCGAGACCAGCGCAGTGCGAGGGTGGGGTGAGGGGGTGCGAGCGAGAAAATACGCACGGCCCCCTACCCAAAACGCGGTGGAAGCCAAGTGAGGACGCCGGCCCCAGACGCCCCTTCCCAATGCCTGCCATCACCCCGCGCGGGCTCCCCCGGAAGTTGGGGTGCAGCGAGCAGGGGGGATGTCCCAGGGCCCCGTGGGGGTGGGGGTGGGATAGGCAAGAGACTAAAAAGACAGTCCGCTGCTGGTTTCTTTCTCCTCTTCCTCTAGGGTAAGGAAGCCGGAGGGACGGGGACGCCTAAATGCGGCGGGAGCCACCCGGGAACGGTTTCCTCCTGCGGCGCGCCGGTACGAAGCCGGAACTGGCGAGGAAGGGGACTGAGAGGGAGAGGAGTCAGTGCGGAGCAGCGGGCAGCGGGCAGCAGAGATGGAAAGGCGGTGAGAGGGCTGGGGAGACGGGGGGAGGGGGAGACGGGCGGGAGGGGACCCTACCTTGTCCGGGAGCCGCTCCTGCTCAGCGGGGCGGGGGCGGGAGATCCCGGCCGCATCCACGTCCCGGCCGCTCGGCGCGGCTCAGCCCGGCGACTGCCGCCGCTCCCGCTCCATACGTTGCTCCGCGAGGGGCGGCCCGGTGGTGTCGGCGGCGGGCAAGTCACCCGCACGGCTCGTCTCCGGCACTTGTTGCCGCCACCGCCACTGCGCCTCTCACTCCCGGCTCCAGCTCCCCGCGCCGCCGCCGCCTCCCGGCGCCCGGCTCGGGCCCCGCCTTCGCCCCCGCCCGGCGCGCCAATCAAGCCCGGCACCACCCCTCACGTCACCGCCCAGCGGGGCCCGCAGCCGGCGCCCCAAGTTTGGGGAAGGCCGAGCTCCAGCCTGTCTGCCAGTTGGCGCCCAAGATTCGCCCAGGCTGGTGCTCCTCCTAGCTTCCAGAGACCCTCCGGGGCCCCCAGGTCCACACGTGGAAAGTAAAGGGCTAAACTGGGGGAAGGGGCCCCCAGGAAGTAGACCCCCTCGGAAGCACAGGACAGTTCGACCATATTCCAACCCGGGTCTAACCTAAATCTCTCCAACAGCAGGTCGCCCCTCTTGCGGGGCGCCTAATGTTGGGGGACTAAGCACATAGCCTGGGTAGGACTCCAGCGACCTTTTCTGGCCAGAACCAGTTTGTGACTGGGCCTAGACCGGACCACGGCCGACGTTCCCGTGTTTGGGTGCGTGCGCCCCTGCAAAACCCGGAGTTCCACTGGGGAAGGGGGAACCAGGGCCACCGTGGGACTTGACCGTTGCTCTCTGCCCACCCATTACTTGTCGCCACCTCTTAGATCCCCAAATACCGCCCTAGAGCCCAAGGCCTAAATGATGCCCTACTTGGCACTGCCACCCGATCTCCAAATTTATGGAGCCGCCCAGGAACTGGTGAGGGAGAAGTTTTAGCTCTCCTCCTTGCGGTGTCTTGCAGAGAATTTCCTGGAGGTTCCACGCGCGTCTTGGAAGCCATAAAGGCAAGGTGTCCCGACGCTGCGCCTCCAACCCGCGCCGCCGCCCAAAGGGGCAGGGTGGACACCTAGGAGCAGCCTAAATGGCTGAACTCTGACACACCTTCGGCTCCCCACTGTTGGGTGAGGACACCCCCCGGCCGAAACACCTGGAACCACAGACGCACCCTCAGCCCAGCGCCCCCTCTGGCTCGCCAGAGCACTGCCTTCTAAGCCCAACTTTGGGGGCCCCAGGTAAGCCTAGCGCAACCGGATGGGGAGGTTGCGCAGGTCTGAAAGGCCCGGAGCGGCCAGCTTGTCACGCGCGTGCTCCGTGGGGAGGCAAGCCTGGCCCGAGGCCCATCAGAAAGCACCTCCCTCGCTTGGTCCTCACCTCTTAAGGAAAAAAGAGATCCCCTTTACACAACCAGAGCGAGCAATTAAGAACACTCCACCCTCAAATATTTGCATTTTTCAGAAGGCTTTCTGAGGCGAAATTAGCCGAAGGGGAAGGAAATGCAAATGTAGGAATTTCAGGCACCTAGGAGCTCAGCCCTATCGAGTGTGGGCCCCTTACTCTTATCCAAGCTCCGAGCAAAAGACCACTTTGCTGCTGGACGCACTGAGCCACGTGGGTGCACGCTAGAAACAGGAATTCAGAGTCAGATCTGGGAAAGTTTTGATTTTCAGCCTTCCGACCTTTTTGCTTTTATGTTGATCACGTGATTCTCCTAAGACTGAAACATAAAAGTCAAAGAAACAAGTTGGATTTGGTCTATTCCTAGAAAAACACAAAGGATGCACACCGACTGCTAACCACGGTTATCCCAAGTGTGGGACTGGAGTGTGGGAAGGAGGGAGATGAATTTTATACCCTTATACTGACTCTGCATTTTGTATTTTTCCAGTTATATTAACTGTCAATTTAGAAAGCTAATAAAACATTTTTAAAGAAATACAGAAATTAGAAATTCTTCAAGAACTCTAGAGAAAGTATAAATTAATAAACAAAGCCTATGCTTTCATTCTGCATCAAAATAATTATTCCTGAGTCCATGTTCCTTGGTTTAAATAAAGGTATCTCTAGGCTGCTGTTCTGATTAAATGCTGTGGTGGGACAAGACTGACTTCTGAAGATTTTTCTGTGCCGTCAGACTGACATACTGTTTTCTATGCGCGTGTGTCTTCCCTTTAAATGGGCACCCAGTAGCCACAGACATACTTTTAGGGACTGCCTGCCAAGGAGTTTTTAGTAAAGGAACTGCTACAGTGTAAGTTGGGATCCAACAAGGAAATTAAGCTTGTGTCCTTTGTAGCTGCCCAGGCCCTGAAATTTAAAAATAAGGGCATTCTCTCCATCCTGCCATTAATTAATGCAGCTGGGAGTGTATCTATAACAGTTAACACTGTACCTTTGGGGGAATTACTCAACGCTAAGTTCTGCACCCACTTGGCTGTAGTCTTTACTCTTGCGTTGGGGCCTGGGTCCATCATCAGTAGGTAAAGATGTATTATTTATTTATTTAACAAATATGTGGTGACACTGGAGTGGTGAACATGACAGACAAACTCTTCCCTCTTGGAGCTCACAGTTTCACTGGGAGAGACAGCTTCACAATTCAATGCACTGTCAATTATATAATGACAATTGCGGAAGTACAAGGTGGTGGGACCATTTGGGGGAGTCCAAGAGGATGTGACATTTGAGTTGAGCTCTGAAGGGTGAGCAGGATTTACTCAGGCAAAAAGGAAAGTGGAACGGAGTTCCTGGCTGGTTTATACTACAAGGCGATGTGGTTGAGGGAGAAGTTGGAGAGGTAGGCAGGGGCTATGTTTTGTAGGACCTAGAATACCATTTTCAGTAAGATCACTCTGATCAAATGTGAAGAATAGGGAAGAGGGAGAAAGGGGGTTGAGGGATAGTTAGGAGGCTGTTGCCAAAATATAAATGAAAGGGTTGGGGTGCCCAGCTGGCTCAGTCGTTAAGCATCTGCCTTCGGCTTAGGTCATGATCCCAGGGTCCTGGGATTGAGCCCTGCATTGGGCTCCTTGCTCAGCGGGGAGCCTGCTTCTCCCTCCCCCACTCCCCTTATTTGTATTCCCTCTCTTGCTGTCTCTCTCTCTTTCAAATAAATAAATAAAATCTTAAAAAAATAGGGCTTTTTATCTAAGTGGTAAAGCAAACAGAGAGAAGGATACCAACAGGACTTGGTGATTGCTTAACTAGGGAGGAATTAAGGAAAACTCCCAGTTCCCTGCTTCTTCAACCAGATGGACAGTGGTGCCATTTTATCAGTTGGGGGACCCTCAGGGAAGAGAACTGAGAAAATCTTCCCAAGGTTCACATTTGGTCAAGGTGGGTCTGAGGTGCCTGTGAGGTGCCCAAGTGGAAATGTTGAGTAGGTCATTGGTCGTATGGTCCAGGTCTCTGAAGAGGGGCTGAAACTGAAGTAGTAAGTAGAGGTGGTAATAAAGCCAGGAGAATAAGGTGGTCCCCTCGGAGAGTATAGAGCTCGACTGGAAGAGGGCCTAGGACTTACCTAAAGGCTGAACAGAGGCAGACTATCTGCAGATGAAGCAGAGGAGCTGCCAGAGGGGCAGGAAGAAAACTAGGAACTTGGGGAGGGAGGGATTTCCCAGGGAAAGAACATGTTATAAGGAGGCAGTAGTCAACAGCACTCAAAATGGCTGAGAGACCCTAGGGAGATGAGCACTAAATAACATCCCCTGAATTGACTGACCTTAGTGTCATTGGGAGTTTCACAGAGCAGTGACTGGTATAGTGAAGGGCAAAGAGATAGACTGGAGTGGATTGAGGAGTGAGTGAGCGGTGAAGAAATGAAGAACGGTACTTCATGCAGACAGAAAGGTTTGAAGGGTCAGAGAGAGAAACAGCTGGAGAGGAATATTCTATCAGCATTGGGTTTAGGATAGAGTAACTTGAGTGTGTTTAAATGCAGATGGGGAGGATCCTATAGAGAAGAGGAAGATGAAGGTATAGCAGTGAGAGGACAATGGACAATAAAGGTTCCTGTGACCATGGGAGAGGACCAGAACCAGAGTATGGGTGGAAAGTCTAACCTCATGCAGGAGGCTACCTCCTCTATTATAACAGGAGTGAGGAAGTTGGAGGAGGACTGAATCAGGCAGGTTTGGTGTGGGACATTGAATCCTTCCACAGGATGATTTTCTCTTGCTCTGTGACATACAGGAGGCTGGGGGTGGGGCAGGGAGAGCTGACAGATTTGAAGAGAGTGGAGAAGGTGTGACAGAGTCCTTGCAGAAAGTGGGAAGGTTGAGGGGTGCCTGGGTGGCTCGGTCGTTAAGCGTCTGCCTTCAGCTCAAGTCATGATCCCAGGGTCCTGGGATTGAGCCCCACATCAGGCTCCCTGCTCAGCAAGAAGCCTGCTTCTCCCTCTCCCACTCCCCCTGCTTGTGTTCCCTCTCTCGCTGTGTCTCTCTCTGTCAAATAAATAAAATCTTTAAAAAAAAAAAAAAAGGAAATGGGAAGGTTGAAATGGCAGTATGGCAACCCACTTGAGTTTGGTGGTGTGAACTTATAAGGTACCCTTTGGCCCTCCTATGTGATTTCCTCCAGGAGGGCTCAGGTGTCTGCTCTGGTGCAGACTCAGGTGAGGGAATTCCTAGGGTAGAGGAGCAAATTCCTTTTGCCAAGGAATTGAGAACCTTGGCAAAAGTGAGGTTGACATGATGAATGATAAGAGAGAAAGGAATCAATGCGCTGGAGGTATCAAGTGTTTAGTCATTTTGGAAGAAGAGGGGGTTGCTGACTTGGGTCAGCAATCTGGATGCTTAAGTTAGTGGTTCAGGAGGTGGAGAGATTTAATGACAAAGCCAGGATATGATAGGGGAGAGTAGAAGAGAAAGTCACTGGAGAATATGAGGCCAAGGGAATGAGAGGCAGGGTATTGGATAGGTCACCTGTGTGGGCAGTGAAGCCACCCAGGAAGATATGGGCAGGAATTGAAGTCAAGGTCATGGTATGAAGGTCACGGAGCTGGGAGCTGAAGTCTTAAGAAAGTGAGGAAGAGGGAATGACAAGGAGGTCAGAAGATGGGAACCACCAGAAAGGAAGAGGGATATGGCTAGGCAGAGGTCTCCTCAAGAGTGGAAGAACAAGAGTGTTTGTAAGAGGTGGAGGAGAAATGATGAGAGAGAGAGAGTACTAACCCCACCTCTGGGCCCTGGGAGACACAGAGATGAAAAAATGAGCACCTTCATCTCCTAGAGCTTCAGGGAAGCAAAGAAGGTGGGGATTTCATTCTGAGTAGAGCTTAAGGATAGATGGATGGATGGATGGATGGATGGATGGATGGAGCAACCTTCAATTCAGTTTGCTTGTTGAAGTCTGCAGTCCCAGAGGATTACATAAAAAGATTTGGAGGGTGGGAGTGAGTAGGGGTGGGAGTGAGTAGATGTGGGAGGTCAGATGCTGAGAAAAGCAGAGGATTGTGCCTGATGGTGGATAGAGGATCCATGATCCATGAGAATGATCATGGAAAGAGAAATGAGTGGTCTCAGTGAAGCCTGACCTGGTAGCTCTGTAAAGCAGGGCCACATCCCCCTCACTTGTTTCACCCCAAGATTTCCATCAGGGAAAGGCATGTGAGTCACACCTCCCTTCTCCTTACCCCTCTTCTACACTAGGGACTTCGCTGTCAACACATGAGCTCCTATGGGACTCTTGGCCACGAGTCAGGAATCCCAGGCTTATCTCCCCTCTGCTACTCACTTTGTCTCTTCCTCAGGCAGGTTGTTGACCTCTTCCGTCTCAGTTTCATTGTATGTAGATGCTAAAACACACACACTTCTCAGGACAACTATAAGGAGTAGAGAAGATAACTTAAGTAAAAGCACTTTCTAGGGGCACCTGGTGGCTCAGTTGGTGGAGTATGTGACTCCTGATCTTAGGGTCGTGAGCTTGAGCCCCATGTTGGGTGTAGAGATTAGTTTAAAAAAAAAAAGGCACTTTCTAAACTATAAATCACTGCAGGAATGTGAGTGATTTCCCTTGTCCAGAACGCCCTCACATACATCCATATGTCTCCCAGGAGCCGTCCCAAAAAGATCGCGAGTCTTTGCTCTAAAAGAAGCTGTAATCTCGCCCAGAGACAGGACAAACACACCCAAAACAATTAGAGAGGAATGCACAGCTGTGTCTGATTAAGTGCTAAATTGTAAGGTGCAGAAAGTAAGAGCTCTGAGATGAGAAAAGAGAACAATTAGCCAGACTTGGGAAAGTCTGGGAGGCTTCCTGGAGAAGGTGGGGTGAAAGGCACCCAGACTGCTCACTGAAGCTGAGAAGACTATTGGCAAGTGCCTGTTCCTTTGTGGCTACAAAGACTGTCAATGGGACAGTCTGACATGGGTCCACAAAAAGCTTCTAGGTCACAGATGCTCTTTTGGCACCCCTGCTGCCCAACCTGTTGTCACCCCAATGGCCGTGCACCTTCTCAATCATAGTCTGGTGCTCCCGCCAGGTGGTTGGGCAGCCTGGGCTACATGGCTAATCTCCTGGGCTTTGCCCTGGGCCTCTCATGTTTGGGTCACCTGTGTGCCTGGTGAAGAAACAGAGGTTGATCTTCAGCAAGTTTCCTGGACCGTCTTTGGTGCCAGCACACGTGCAGTATTTTTGCCCGGCCAGACTGCAGGTTGTGGAAGAAGCAATCCCAGCTGCCCCTCTTGCTGCCATTTGTACCCAGCCAGCCTAGGGGACCTGCATGTCCACCGAACCAAAGCCTGCACCAGCTCCCACACCTGCCTCCTTTGCTCTTGCCTCTGCTTCATTGTCCAGGAGCACCCATCAGCCCACCATTCGGATACCACCCCACGGAGCTGCCACCCTAGAGCCCAAGAGCTGCAAGCCCAGAGCTCCCTTCGGCCTCTTTGGTTGTACTGGAGCCACGGGAGCCAGCCAACTCCTGCAGCCCACTGGATGTGGTTCAGAACGATGGCCTTCTTCCTCGGTAGCTTGCCCCATGGCCTGGTTGTTCCCTCCTCCTTCCCCACAGACCTGGGAAAGTTCCCATCATGCTTCAGGGGCAAGCGGACACAGGCAGCTGCAGTGGCAGCAGAAATCCCTAAATCTTGTATATGCTGTGGACTTAGGTTGCTCCAGAAGGACAGCAGTGTTTTGCGAGTCTGTTAATCAGTCCCAGTTGGAGCCATAAAAACCACAGTCACCTCTGTCAATGGCTAAAATATTAATTACTGATGCAAAGTGTGGAATCTGGGCACTGGAATTCTTGGAACTCCAGTCCAAATCCCTTGGAACTTGAAAATGAGAAAAAGGAGGTCCGAAAAGTAG